AGAGAGTATTTTGCATAGTGACAGTTAGAGTGCAATTCAACTTGAAAAGAATCCAACTTTTCATTCTAAGACAAAACACATTCAGTTGCGATACCATTTCATTCGTTCACTTGTAGATGATGAAGTCTTGTCTCTTGAAAAGATTCGTGGCAATGAGAATCCAATAGATATGTTGACCAAGATAGTCACCATTGACAAACTGAAGTTGTGTGCAACTTCAGTTGGCGTTAAAGGTTGATGATGGAAGATCTAATTGTTGTGGCACTCCTCTACGTGACAAAGATGATGGAAAGCTTATGTTATCAGGTTCCAAGTGTGAGATTGTTAGGTCTGTGGACCTTAATAAGTATTTTTCTCTCAACCCTAGTGTCGACACCCCATTTTTGACCGTCCTCAAGACTTGGACGTCACCGCTCGAACACTCGGTGATTACTCATGTTTGTGTTTCGTTTTGAGTTCCCGGAGGTCTCGGCTACGCGCCTTGCCTCAGGATCTCTCAACTCGACTGTTCTGTGTTTGGTTTTGCACCAAACACTTGTGTTTTTGCTTTTGAGGGTATAAGGTAGCTTGTTAGCTACACCTGACGCCCACCGGCCTTGGTTTGAGGCCACCGGCTATGTTTTGAGGCTACCGGCCATTGGTGAATTATACCATTGGCCGGTCGGCATTCAGTATGGCCGGGCGGTCATCTGTTTGGCCGGTAACCTCTTTTTCTGGCCGGTAACACCTTTTTACCTTCTTCAGGCATGGTGCATGCCAGCTGTGCCAGCTGGAATGCACTAAACCTACCCCGGGGCATACATGTGGCTGTTTTGCCCCTTTTGCCCCCTTTTGGTCAAAGCTTCTTGAGGAAGCTTGACCCTTAGGCAAAGCTTCCTCAAGATGCTTGCCAGCTATCCTAGCTTCCTCAAGAAGCCTTGCCCCCTTTGACTCTTTTTTGTTTAGCTTATTTGAGAAGCTTCAAAGCTTTCCCTTGTCTATATAAGAGCCTCTCCTCCTCCTTTGTTAGGGTTGTGCAAAAAAACCAAAGCTATACACATATATATCTGATATATATCATCCTCTCTCTCTATATCTCCCTCTCTCTTTTCATTTTGTGTGGTTTGAGGGCCTAAAGTGTGTGTTTGTTCTTAGTTTTGCACACAAACACACACTACTACACCATACTTCGAATTTGAGAGGCTTTGGGGGTTTGTTCTTGAGGTTTTGGACTGGTTTTGATCAAAAGAAGAAGGCTGCACTTGCTGTTCATCAAGGGTTCTTCAAGGGTAATTCTTTTACTTTAGATTCCCCAATCTTGCACTAGACTTTTGCCTATCTTGCTCATTGTTTTAGACTTTGTGTATAACTGAAAAAAGGCTTGTGTTTGCATGCTCAAGATATCTCATTAAGGTTGTTTTGGCATTGGGGGTTGACCTCCCCCTCTTAGGCCTTGTTGGGCCCCTTTTTGAGCTTCCTTTATTAAGTTTTGATTTCTTTGGTGTATTAGCCTTCTCACCACTGAAATCCAGTGGATTTTCAGTGGTGAAGAAGGGGGTTTGAGATCTTGCATAGGGGAGGGACACCCCTCTCCCTTGGTCTCTCATTTTGTTCATGTTTTGGCTCATAAGGGTAGCATGTATACTTGGTTGTATTTGGCCCTATTTCAGAGGATTTTGGGTGTTATTTGGGCATATCTTACCTCTGTTTTTGGTCGGATTTGTGGTCCCTTACATGCATAATATACTTGCTTTGTATTCCCCCATTTTGTCTAAAAGTGCATCATGCATTTAGCCTACCATGGTCTTGTGTTTTGGCCTAACTTTGTGAAGTTCTTAGCCATGTCTTACCATGCTTAAGGTCTGTTGGGTGCTGTTTTGATTGTATTTTCCATGTTTGATATAGCCACTTTGTATTTTGGCTTGTGAGCCTTGAGTGTGTGAATGATTTGGAGCCATTTCATATGCCATTTCAGTCGCTAATCCATGCATGTATGCTCACATTCATCATCACTTTCTTGCCTTGAAAGGTTGTTCTTTTGTGCCTTGGAAAAGGTCATAGTGCATGCCTTGTGATTAGGTCATTTGGGCTGCCATATCAGTGGGTTTTGGGGGCTCATTTTACATATTGAAACTCTGATTTGTATTGAAAAGTGCGTGCCATGAGTGGTTGGGGTGGTTGTACTAGAATGCTCCCTTTTGTGGCCTTGAATGCCCTTGTTTTGGACTCATTCCTTGGCGTGTTTTGACCATGATCTATGTATGCTTTAGTCTTGTTTTGGAGTCCCTTGGGACTGTTTTAGGTCATTTTGGTCCTTTAAGGTTTGGTTGACATAGCTTTGGTTTGACCCCCTTTATTGGCTTCAAGTGTTGGTCATTGTTGCATACCTTGCTTGCATGTTTTGTTTGATTTGGAATCATTCTCTATTCATTTTCAGAGCTTAGCATGTTGGTTTAATGCCCATATATATCGCCTTTAAGTATGCTTAGAGTTGTCCCCTTTTATGCTTAGGTGATGGACCTTGATGTGTGCATGCTTGCATGCATCATTTGTGCTCTTGTGCATCCTTTTAGGCCACTGTTTTGGGGGTGGGCTGAGGTCCTCTCGTTTCAGTATAAGTCCATCTTTGCATATTTTGCATGCTTGCATGTTGCATTGTATTGGTTGCATGCTTACATTGTATCATTTTCGCATGTTTGCATGTTGTTTAGTTAATGACATTACATAGTCTTGTTGTATGCTTGATATGTCCATATTGCATTAGTCTAGCATGCAGGATTAGATAGTGTCATGTTGCATCAGCTTAGCATGTTCATGTTATCTTGCATGAGTTGCATCACTTTGCATTATATATTGCATCCATGCATTACATTTTGCTTGGTTTGGGGTGTCAAACCATGTATGAGGATTGAGAAGTGTTCATACTCCAAGTGATGTAACACGTCTCAACCCTCGATCGTCAACCCCCTTGACCTCAACATGATAGGGTGTTGGCATTCATCTCTTTTGGTTGCATGCATTTACATCAAGTTGCAAACTTGGCCTCTTAGGCCATCATGCATCAAAAATGCACAATTGATGGCCCGAGGGTCGAGGGTCATGTTCCCTTGAGTCCCTTGCATGATAGGGAGTGTGCCCATGCTCACATTGCTTGAGAATTCCATGCCATACACTGCTTGCCCTCTGCTGTTGTCAACTGCAGGTTTCAGCAGGAAGATTTGGCCAGCGGCAGTGTTGAGTGCCGACCGGCAAAGAACTTTGGCCGAGAGCACAATATTTAGCCGATAACCTCATTCCCATGGCCGGTGGCCTTTTGATCTGGCCGGTGGTACTCCACTGCACTCAGAATGAAGTTCAGAGTAGTTCTGGAGACTTTTATAAATTTCAGAGGGGTGAGGCAGTGTAAACGGAGGCAACAGTGCTATGGCAGCGAGTTTCCGGGCGAGACGAGTCAAGCATGCATCATTCACGTATCTCGAGACGGGGCTGTGGCCACCTTCTTTCTGCATTTAATTTGTTAATTAATTAAAAATTCTGTAATAATTAATTTAGTATTATTTATTCGGACTGTAATATTTATTCGGACTCTTCGAGCGAGGGCAATTGTGTAATAAGTGTGCGTGAGTGTGTGTATGTCTCCCAACCCCACGTCTTTCTTCCCTTTTATTTACTAGCTTTCGATGGTTAGCCTAGGGCATGTTTCAATTAGCATACAGTATAATAGCATGAATGCATCATTCATTAGTCTTGCATGCACCAGGCTCGGTATATCATGCTAACTGCATAAGTATTTCAAATTTAACTTGAATACATGCTACTTGTGCATTTTCACATATCATTTATAGACTAGCCGAGCCTACTCTAGTGACATTCTGTATGCGTTGCATTAGCCACTTAACATGGACTTGGATCATGCATTGATTGCTAACATGTTTTTGTTTCGACTCGGAGTACTAGGTAAGCATTTGTGCTTTAGCATACCGCATGCGTATGAGTGTTGCCATAATAACATGATTACCATGAGGCTAGATGCTTATGTGATATAAACTGCTTGAATGCCTGTGGGTGAAGGTTGGATTGTTTGAGTTGGAATAACTCGTTGAAGTCCGTGCTTTAGCCTACTTGCGAGTAGCAAATTTCAAACTATTTTTCAAACAAACGGATATGCAATGCTTTGTTCCAATTCAGGCGATTTGGTCTATACTTGTTTGCTGTGCGCATAACGTAGCAATTCTAGGCTAATAACCGGAATAAGAACACATAACGTTTTCAAAATCGGATATCACGGTTAGTAGAGGCCGATCTTCGGATCGGGCGAGAGGGGGTGCTCATAGCTGACCTTCCTCAATCGTACCTAAGCTCCTGAGCTGAGGCAACTTTGGTGATGACTGACACGTGGCCTTTGGCACCAGGGTTTCCTAAATTCCCTCATAAAAAATATTTAGGTGGCGACTTTGTATCTGGCAAAGCAGTCCATGTTTGGCACTTCATTTCAAAAATCTGTTTCTCAAAACGATTTGCCGGATTTGGACTCTTTGGTTCAGATTAAGAACCGTGAAAATTCGAGAGTCCAAACCGTAGTGAGCCCAATATGAACAGAACGGGACATCCTCCCGGGGCGTTCGAGGACGCGTCTACACCTAGGTCCAATGGGGGGTTTAGAGGGGCTTTCCTTCAAGAGGAGGGAGGGTCCAAAGAGGTACTTTAGTAATTTTCCTATTGCTTCTGTGTTGCCTTAATTTTATGCTTATAAATAGATGAATGGGCCTTTTTTAGGTTAAGAGAGTTGTATGGTTTTTTAATCATAGTGAAAACCACAACAGCCGTGGACGTAGCCCTGTTCTGGGGTGAACCTTGTAAATCCTTATGTTCTTGATTGTGTGATTTGTTTGATTCATTTTATCTTTCTTGTTTGTTATTTCGTATCTCACCAATCTTAGTTAGGAAGAGACATTTCCCTAACATACCATTGTAGCAGCCCATGTGTTCCAAAATGCCAATGTGCACCAGAAAAATATGGTTTAAGGATTCAACTTTGCCTTATAGAAGGGACAAATATTGTTCATGCTGCTACTAAGAGCCTTTGCAGGTAATCTGTGGTTTTTACCCTGCCTCTCCACACCAACCATCCCAGCAATTGGGCGTACATGAATGACATGTATCATACTTTAGGAGTAAAATTGTAAACTTTATCAATTTAGTGACTCAATCTCAATTAATTCAGTGAAATTTTCTGTCAAAAATTATAACAGTGTTATCAATTCAACCAAATTGACGCAAAATTTAAAATTAATATTAAAATTGAGTTAATTGAAACTATAGGAATTACAAGGACATAAATGACAAAATGTAGGATTACCAGTGTAATTTGTCCATTTTATTATTATAGTGATATATGTGTGTTTGAATGCTATGGATGTATATTATTGTTGAGACTCTATTATTGATCTTTCTCTCATGATTTCTTTTTCAAGGGTCCTTATTTTTTTTATTTCACTATTCTTTGTCATTTTTTTTTTGCCTTGCCTATGATTCCACGCTGCTCCTTTAATTTTTATTTCACTATACTTGTTGGTGGCTTCTTGTAATTGAAAGTCCTTGTTGTGGTTTTAAATACTGGGTACTGTATACATTTCGTGTTTGTCTTTTTAATAGCGATATATTAAGTATGCCTTGCATATGGCATGAAATGCATATCTATTTTGTTATTTTTTTAAAATTTATTTATGTAATTTTGTGTTTTTTTGATACAGTGTGTAACTGTTAAGTAGGTCAACTTAAAAATAAATCATATTAAAATAATAAATTATATTATATACGCATAATTATTTTCATAAAAATGCGTAACTAACACAAACTTGAGCAAGTTATCTCATAAAAGTTTTGAACAATACAAAATCATGTAAGTTTTCATAAATTCACGCAAGTGATCTCACAAAAATGCGCAAGTGACACAAATTCGAATAAGTCATGTCATAAAATTTTGAACAACACAAAATCAAGTAAGTTTTCACAAACTCACATAAGTTATCTTACAAAAATGCGTAAGTTAACATAAATTTTCCGTAAGGCATCTCATAAAAGTTTTGAACAATACAAAATCACATAAGTATCCACAAACTCACGTAAGTGATCTCACAAAAATACGTAAGCAACACAAATTCGAGTAAGTTATCTCATAAATTTTGAACAACACAAAATCAAATAAGTTTTCACAAACTCACGTAAGTGATCTCACAAAAATATGTAAGTGAACACAATTTTTTTGTAAGTTATCTCATAAAAGTTTTGAGGGATACAAAATCAAGTAAGTTTTTACGAAATCACGTAAGTGATCTCATAAAAATACGTAAGTAACACATATTCGAGTAAGTGATCTCACAAAATTTTGAACAACACAAAATCCCATAAGTTTTCAAGAATTCATGTAAATAATCTCAAAAAACCGTGTAAGTTAACACAAATTTGAGTAAGTTATCTCATCAAAATTTGAACAAGATAAAAACAGGTAAATTTTCATGAATTCACGAAAGTACATTTACAAAAATCCGTAAATTAAACACAGATTTCTCGTAAGTTGTCTCAAATTTTTTTTGAAGAACACAAAATCCCATAAGTTTTGAAGATCTTACCTAAGTGATCTTAAAAAACCCCGAAAGTTAACAGAAATTCAAGTAAGTTGTCTCTTCAAAATTTGAACAATACAAAGATCTTACCTAAGTGATCTTAAAAAACCCCGAAAGTTAACAGAAATTCAAGTAAGTTGTCTCTTCAAAATTTGAACAATACAAAAATGCATAAATTTTAAGTTGTCTCTTCAAAATTTGAACAATACAAAAATGCATAAATTTTTATGAACTCACGTAAAGTTTCTCACAAAAATGCATAAGTTAACACAAATTTTTCGTAAGTTGTCTCATAAAATTTTTTAAGAACACAAAATTTCGTAAGTTACATGAAATCATGTAAATGATCTCACAAAAACATGTAAATTAACACAAATTTGGGTAAGTTATCTCATCAAAGTTTTAAATAACAGAAAATCGAGTAAGTTTTCACGAAATCGCGTAACTGCTCTCAAAACAATGCATAAGTTAAACACAAATTTCTCTTAAGTCGTCTCAATAAATATTTGAATAACACAAAATCCCGTAAGTTTTCAAGAACTCACGCAAGTGATCTCAAAAAACTGTGTAAGTTAACACAAATTCGAGTAAGTTATCTCATCAAAATTTGAACAACACAAAAACACATAAGTTTTCACGAACTGACGTAAGTGCTCTCATAAAAATGCACAAGTTAAACACAAACTTTCCATAAGTTGTCTCAAAAAAAATTTGAAAAACACAAAATTCCATGAGTTTTCAAGTACTCACGTAAGTGATCCAAAAAAATTCTTAATTTAACACAAATTCGAGTAAGTTATCTTATCAAAGTTTGAACAACACAAAAACGAATAAGTTTTCACAAACTCGCGTTAAGTGTTCTCACAAAAATACGTAAGTTAACACAAGTTTTCTATAAGTTGTCTCATGAAATGTTTGAAGAACACAAAATTCAATAAGTTTTCACAAAATCACGTAAATGATTTTACAAAAATGCGTAAATTGACACAAATTCGAGTAAGTTATCTCATTAAAGTTTTGAACAACATAAAAACACGTAAGTTTTCAAGAACTCACATAAGTGTCTGACAAAAATACATATAACACAAATTTTTCCTAAGTCGTCTCAAAAAATATTTGCATAACACAAATTTCGTAAGTTTTCAAGAATTCATGTAAGTGATCTCAAAAAACCGCATAAGTTAACACAAATTCGAGTAAGTTATCTCATCAAAGTTTGAACAATACAAAAATGCATAAATTTTCACGAACTCACGTAAGTGTTCTCACAAAAATGTGTAAGTTTTCACCTTTTTCTCTCATTAAAGTCAACCCAAATGAACATTTTAACTGGGGTTAAAATAGTAAAAAAATCAACCCAACTTCCCAAACGAAGCCATAGAAGGTCATTTTTGAGTTTTTTTATTTTTTATATTTTTTGTTTTTAGTAATTTTGTTTTTGGATATTTTAAGTAATTTTTTACTTTTTAGATACATTTATTGTAAATATAATTAAAAAAGTATAATATTTGTGAATTTTTTTAAAAAAATTACAAAATATCTAAAATATTAAAAAATACAAAAATTCGGTATATTTTTGTATTTTATTCTTGTTTATTTATTAATTTTTTTAAAATATTTTTTTTATAAATATTTTACTTTTTAGTACATCTAAGTTAAGTGCATTTAAGAAGTAAAAAATTTTCTTGAAATATTAAAAAAATTCACTAAAAGTATAAAAATATAAAAAATAAAAACTCAATTTTTAAAAAATTAAATTTTAAAAATTGAAACCAAACAAAATGTATTTAAAAAGTAAAAAACTTACTTAAAATATTGAAAATTGTTTATTAAAAATAAAAAAATAGGAAAAAAAAAACTCAAAACTGGCCTACTATATCATTTACTTTCATTTCCTGTAGCATGAGTTTGATCAAAACAGTGGCGCAAAAAATAAATAAATAAAATAAGGAGAGAACAGTCGGGACCGAGAATCCGACATGATAATGAGGGGTTTTGAAAAAATCTTTCCCACCGACCATTCAATTTTTTCTTTTAGAAAGGTGCACCAACAATTCATTAACACTTGAAAAATGCTATTAATTCACTCTTAGAAATTCATAATTTACTTCGAATGAATTTGTATAATAAAAATTAAATTAGTAAAATATAAAATTTATGAGTAAAATAAATTTAAATCATTAATTTTTTTTTTTTTGAATAAATTCGAATTGGTAATGTTGTTATTAACACTTCGTTGAGACTGTCTAAAAAATCAACATAAATGTGATTATTCTATTTTTCAACTAGTAAAAAAGAATAAATTACACTAATCGCTTTGAAAGTGAAACTTGTCAACAATTTAGAGGATTCGTTTGTATATTTTTATAATTTAGAGGGTGAAAGTAATATTTCTCAATAGTTGATATTTCTAAATAATTTAGGAGGCCTTTGTTTTAAATAACCCAATCAATTAACAATTTTATTAATATTAGAAATATATTTTAATTAATAATTCAAATAATCTTATTGTTGTATAAGAGAGTAGTTACAAATTTTTTATTTTTTATTAATTCCGTTAAATACATTTTTTTAACAAAGAGATATTGATAATTTCTAAAATTATAAAAGGCAACTTATACTTTTAAATAAACTTTTAAATCTTGGGGTCAGCACTTTTCCATTTACGTTAGTGAGAGGGTAATTTTTGGTAAAAATTGGGCCGAGCTATGTAATGGGCCTTGTGGCCCAAATTGCCAAGTAAGGTGTAAGTGTAAGGTGTAAGGTGTAAGTGGGTTGCACATGGTGTGCAACCTCAAAAAATGTGTAAGTGTAAGGTTTAATTTTTTACAAAAGGTGTAAGTGTAAGGTGTAAGTGTAAGGTATAAGGTGTAAGGTGTAAGTTGCACACCATAACCAAACCCAACTTTTAAATCTTGGGGTCAGCACTTTTCCATTTACGTTAGTAATAGAAACAGTACAAGGAGGTATTTGTTGCAGGTTAGTGAAGCAGCAGGGTTGGTGTAATCGAAACCTCAAAAGAGGTTTTTGTAATCTCAACAAACCTTGGGGGGGTTTATGTAATTTATCCAAATTTTAAAAAAAAATATCTTAAAAATTAGGAAAAATACGGTTAGCTTTATATTTTTATGGGTCATTTTTTGATAAATTATTTTTTAAGTATTTTATTCCATCTAACTCATATTCTTTTTAAGGTTCCGTTTGGCAAGAGCTAAATGAGACTTTTTTCGCTATTTTAGCCACAAAAAATAAAGGGAGCTTTTTTGATAAATCCATTTTCTAAGAGTTTTATTCCATCCAACCCATATTCTTTTTGACTATTCCATTAGGTCCAATTTGAGATAAGAAGACCAAAATACCCTTTTCATCTTCTTATGTTCCATTTAGTTCACATTATTTTCTTATATTTCAATAAGTCCTATGGGTGACATAATTACCAAAATACCCTTAATGTGAATGTTCACACCGTCAACGTAAATGTTCATATCGTCAATGTGTAGGGGCCCGGCCCATGTCGATCCTCGTGGGTGCCCGAAAAAA